CAGAGTGTTCCATCTCATTTCCCTTTGGGGTTGCTGTAGGTGATCTGAAAGTCTGGTTTTGAGACTTATTTACATGTTTTCTCATTTCGACTGGGGGTGCAGGTGGTGATGTTGGCATCTGCATGGCTCACCTCCTCTGAGCTGGGAGAAGTGGGACAGGTGCCGGGAGCGGTGGTAGGGATGGTGGCCTGGAAGCCCCTTCCTTTGGGCTGGGAGCAGCAGGACAGAAGGCAGCCCAAAAGCCCTTTCCTCTGGGCTGGGAGCTTTGGGAGGGATGGTGGCTAGGAAGCCCCTTCCTCTGTACCAGGGGCAGTGGGACGGCGGCTCAGAAGCCCCTACCTCTGGGCCAGGAGTGGTGGGAGGGATGGTGGCTGGGAGGCCCCTTCCTCTGGGCTGGGAGCAGCAGGACAGAAGGTGGCCCAAAAGCGCTTTCCTCTGGGCTGGGAGCAGCGGGAGGGATGGTGGCCGAGAAGCCCCTTCTTCTGGACCTCATACTTAAATCTTAGTTTTGCTTCACCTCTAACATTCATTTGGTCACAAAATATGTCATTTCTTCCTCTCCCTCTTGAACTGGTCTTTCTCTGCTTCAGGCTGCTCTCTTTTCCTTTCTTCATAATGCCACCAGAGTAACCTTTGTGAAATTCGGCATAACTCTTTGACATTCTCGTGCCTGAAAATCTTTGCAAGGCTCCCTGTCTCTCCTAGGCTGAAGTCTACAATACTATGCACAGCTTTTGAATGTAAAGTTGTATAATTCAAAGCTTTTAGAAATTTTTCTATATGTCTTTTTCTTCCCTTCTTAGGTATTTTCTGGAATATCTAAGAGGACAGTGCTCCTAACTGGACTGGAACACATTCGGATGGATGAAGAGACTGTGGAGGATTTGGTTAGCATTCACTTTCAACGGGAGAAGAACGGGGGTGGAGAAGTAGAAGTTGTAAAATGTTCCCTTGGTCAGCCACACACAGCATATTTTGAAGACTAGACTGATGCTTCATATGAAAACTATAACTTTTTAGTCAAATCACTGTAAACATTTGGCAAAATGAATACCCCTTTCTTTAAAAAATGGTCACTTCTTTAGTGTCCATTTAGTCTTAGATACAAAATATATTTCCAAGTTTTGAATTCTTCTTTGTTTCAAACTCTGCTGCATGTTTACAAATGCCTAAGTGCAAAGTGTTAAAAATGGATGTGTTTATAAATGAGGTGGATGGGTTCCATGTCTATTGAAATCAACTGTAAGTGAGCCCCTTGTCCCCCTGCCTGTCTGTGTTGGCTTATGCTGTCATGGTCATGTAGGCCAATTCCATTTTGGCTTCATGCCCACCAATATGTAGACTCGATGCTTAGTCCTTTCCAAAAGAAACACTAAGAAATTTGTGATTTCTGTAGACTTTACCGAAGATTTCAGGAACGATCATGTCCCTCTCTGTGTAACATTTCACTTTACAGTCCAAGGTTCTCTGAGCTCATTGTGGTCTTTTTCTTGAACTCTCCTTCATTCAGAATACCAAGTGCCCCTTGATTGCTTCCAAGCTACCCAACCCCACCTCCACATGGAGTTTGTAAGAACCAGTAATTTCCTTCTTTTATGGGGTCGATGGAAAGAAACAATATAAGACTGAAAAGCATGAATACGGAGAGAACTATATATAAAGTTAGTGGTTTATCACTGATCAGATTTAGGTGCTGGGGAATGCCTTGAGACATAATATGGTTCCTGCTCTCTAGGGGCTTAAAGTTTTGTTGGAGAGAGACCCAGTTTATTAACATTTTGCTATTTTTAATGTGTAGAAACTATAAGGATAAAATTAAAGTTTCCAGGGCCCAGGGCTATAGATTAGCAGTACCTCACCTGCCTAGCAAGCACAGGGTTCTGAGTTTGAGTCCCGATACCCGCCCCCCCCCCAATTAGTTTCCTATTCAGAGATGGTAAATTCTTTTTTGATTAAAAAAAATTGTTTTGGATACTATTTGTTCTTACATAGTATGTTTTGTGAAAATCTGGAAACAGTTAAATCCATATTTAAATGATAGCAGCAATGAATGTTTTTAGAAAATATTCTAAACCTATCCAGTGCTTTCTGCCACCCAGCTCCCCCCTTCCGCCCTAAGATTCAACCTAGGGCTTCACACATGATAGGCAAATCCCTCACCACTGAGCTATATCCGTGCCCCGCTTCCTGCCCTTTTCCCAAAAAGGGAAAAGTTCCAGGGCCAGAGATGTAGCTCAGTGGTTCCGCCCCCTGCCTCTCAAGCACAAGGTCCTGAGTTTGATCCCCAGTACTAAAAAAAAGGGAAAAGTTTGGTTTTTGCTTCTGTTATTTTATTATTAGGTTTCAAATTTACTGTCAGAAGTATTCATTATTCTCATGTTTCTGTTACAAATGAGAGAGGGAGCCTAGACACCATATAATTTATAATAAATCTTTTACATTTACCATGACAAACCTTTTGTTCTGTGGAAAAGGTGCAACTTTTTAAAGCCCTCGAAAATATTAAGACAGTCTTAGTCTGTTTTCTGTTGCTATAAGAGGCTTATTTAGCTTGTAACACTGGGGGCTGGGAAGTCCAAAAACATGTCACTAGCATTTTGGCATGTGGTGTGGAAGGCCTTCTTCTTGTACCATAATGTGTATGTAGGACATCACATAGTAAAGCAAGCTTGCCAGAGAGCTTGCTTTTGTAACAAAGCTACTTCCATGATGATCCATTAATCTGTGAATCTATGAATTCATGAAAACATTAAGCATTTATGAAGAGCATAGCTATCATGACCCCGTCACTTCCCAAAGGCTTTACTTCCAAATGCCAATAATATGTGAATTTGGGGATTAAGTCTATAAAACGGGAATTTGGGGACACATTCAGACATAGCAAAGAAAACAAGTTTAAGGCACATTTTTAATTAACTGAGATAGCTTCACTAGCACAGAAAGAATTGTTTACAGACTGTGGCAAATTGCTCACCAGGAAAGTATTTTTTCTAATATTTAGGAAAAAATTTGAAACACTCACTTTTGTTTCTTTGGGAGCTGCCTTTAGGCAGTAAAATTGATAATTTCATTCAATTCCAAATTTTCATAATGGCTTTTGAAAAATGATTTATTTATTATGATGTTTTCTTTGGGTTCTGTGTTGGTCAGCTTTCCAACGTGGCAAAATACCTGAGAATAACAACCTAAAGGAGGAAAGGTTATTTGGGCTCATGGTTTCAGAGGTTTTGCTCCATGGTTGCCTGGATCCATTGTTTCTGGCCCTGAGGTGAGTGTATCACGGCAGAAGGGCATCGCGGGAGAAAGCTGTTCACCTTATGGTGTCCAGCAAAGAGTGGAGGAAGGAGGTGCCTGAGAAGAAGGGACTGGTGACAAGATACAGGTCCCAAGGACGTGGGTCCTTGGTCTACTCCCTTCAACTAGGATTGATGAGGTCAGAGTCCTTAGGGTCCAATCACTTCTTAAAGCCCCACCTCTGAACTGTGTTGCACTTGGGACAAAGTCTTCAACACATGACTCTTTGGGGGGACATTCGAGATCCACACTATAATAGGTTCCTTTCACCATTACACAAGAGCAGTCTGGCTGGATGTCTAACAGGGTCAGGGCTAGTTAGCACAGAACTTGGATGGGAGAGTGCCTGGGAATACTGAGTGCTGTAGGCTTTTGGTCTCCCTCTCCTTTCCTTTGCTTACAAAAAAGGAGGAGGAGGAGCAGAAGGAGAAGAAACAAAAAAATCAAGCAATGCTGAATTTTAGTGGTTTCATAGAGATCTGTCTTTGAAAACTTACAAAGGTACTGTATTGACTATGTAACAAATTGAATACTAATTAGAAGGCCTTAAAATGTGTGTCCAAGGTGAGATTGCTCTACTTAATGTGTGAAGGTGATACTGGATGATGGAATCTTTTGACCCAGAGAGGGCCAAACACTGTAGGCACTCACTTCTGCACAGACAAAGCTCACCTGCAGGTTGGGGAAGGGAGAGGCTTCATGGACTGGGGTTCTGGGTTGAAAGGAGCCAGCAGTTGGGGTCAGGAGTGCTTGGTAATTTCCACTGGTCAGGAGCATAGTTCCAAAAGATGTTTCTTCTTGGGATGGTTTTCGATTACTGGGTGGCCACGGTCAACTTGTCCAAGAAGCTGTTGAATTTTGTGTATCTGGTGCCCTAATTCTGTGAAAGACATCCTGGCCTTATGGGTCTGGATCCTGTTACAGAGCCAACAAATTTTAGATGCCTGGGCTTTAATGGCTTCTGTAGAAGCACAGGAGTAGAGGCAGAAAAGAGGGGAAAGAGAAAAAAACACATACGAGCTCTAATAGGCTAAGTTAATATGCATTATAGTCTTGAACTGAATTTCTTAAATGATAACCATGTCTATGCAGAGCCGAGTAGACTCTGACTCAAAGGTTAAGCAGCAAAGGGAACAGACAAGGATGAAGACAGAGATGCCAAGCCTTTTATTGGATTTTAGTCAACCATCAGACATCTGCAAGCCCAAGTAAAGAGACAGGGTTTTCAGTAAAAGTGGCTGTCAGGTTCCCCAGGAAGTGACCTAGGCAACTGTTATAACCTGGAAGTGGAAGGTAATTGGTCGGAGGGGCACCACCCTTAGAAGGGGTTAGTGCAGTTCTTGTGGGACTGGATTAGTTCCTGCAGGAATGAGTTGTTAGAGTTGGGAGTGTAACGTAGTGGGAAAGTGGCTGGCATGCATGACACCCTGGTTTGAGCTCCAGCACTGAAAAAAAAGGGAGGAAGAAGCTTTGTGTTTAATTGTGTTAAATTTCAGATTTTTTTTGGACATTCAAACAGCTACTTAGATATATGTCTGGAGATAAACTATAGATTTGGGAATTACATGTAGATCTACCTCATAGTTTAAAAATCTTCACAGCCTTGTGTCTTGGTGTACAATAAACAGCTTCATTCATTGACAAACTGAGTAGGTCTCAATTTTGTTTTTTAGACTTGCAACATACAATTAAAATTTCTGTATCATATGCTAGTACCACTTGTGCACTGTCACTTCAGATTCAGTTCTAAGGGAACTGCTAAGTCTAAGGATATGGGCAGTTTTGCATCTTTTACTTTACATTTTGATAGTATAAGGGTGAGAAGATGTGGTTTTTCTCTTAGCCATCATACGGGTCACGACCGATACTGTTAAAACACCATCAACAAAAACAACGTGAACAAGAGAAAAGCGACAAATTTGTTTTATCAAAGTTTTATGAGACATGGGAGCCTTCAGAAATGACCCAAAGATCCAGGGAAAACGAATTTTGTATTTAAATTCCATAAAGAATGGACAGAAATGGATAGAAATATGATTGTGCAAAAAGTTCGGATCTAAAGGTAACAGATGATCGGGGGAGGGCGCCCGGGAGGGCCTGTCAAGATTTTTCCCGGGTTCTCCGAGGAGCATTCTTTCCTCCTGGGTATGTGGCAGGAACCCTCTGATGTAAGAGCCTGCCAGGGAGAAGGGAGAAGGGGCAAAGTGACTTTTCTCGCTTTCATGGCTTTTTTGAGGGAGATGAGTTCTACTCTCATGACCCACTGCTGGGAAGAGAAATTCTAGTTTCTATGACTGGCTTGGGGTTAGAGGGCAGAGGTGGCGTCAGGAGACATCCCAGAAAGATCAGAGAGACTTTCTGCTTCTCAGGCTCTTCTCCCATCCTCCATGTGAAGTGCCCAGCGCCAAGGTGGCATGCAGGGGCCAAAAGTCTTAAGAAACTTCAGCACTGCTTGTAACAAGACCCCCCTCCCCCATAGGGTTAACAAGGGCCACTTTCATGCTTTGTAATTTTACCGATGTAAGGGTGGAAAAACTATTTCATGATTTCACCTTATATTTCTTCTTTTAGGGGTGGGATTGAACTTCCTATTTGCCATCAGTTTGCCTTTCTTCTCCATGTTCTCTTTGATTTAACTCTGAAGCTTGTTGTGTGTGTGGAGTCCCTGTGTCCCAGGGCCAGACTCGGGTTGGCACAGGCTGGGCGCACAGTGGCTCCTGGGCGGGCTGGGCAGGCGACCAGGGGGCGAGGAGACCCCGCCCCTGTGCGGGGCGACGTCGGAGTTGAAGGCGGAGAATCCAGGCTCCACCGAGCCCGCCCGGAGAGACGCGTCCCCCGGAGCCTCACCCGTTCCTGCGGGGGAGAACTCCCGCCTCTCCGCAGCGCCTTTTCCAAAGTTGCACGACCGCTGGGACGCAGGCGGCAGGCTGGGAGGGCCGCCCGGGCAGGCTCGCTGCAGCAGGAACAGAAAACTAACCGAAAGCAGAACAGCGGCCGGCCGCCTCTTCCCGCCGCCGAGCTCGCTGGGTCTGGGCCCCGCCGGCCGCCGCGGGCGCCCCCTCGCCATGGCAAGTGGCTTCCGTCGGGTCGGGGCCGGAAGGGCGCGGGGCCCCGGCGCCGGGCGGGGCGACGCGCAGGCCGGCGACCGAGAGCGCGGCTCGGGCTCCTGCGCGCCCCGCTCAGCCCGTAGGCGCCTGGGTCCGCGCCGGGCCGGGCCGGCCACCCGCGCACCACCGCCGCGCGGCCGGGACACAGCTTCCCGGCGAGGGGTCGCTTCCAGGAGGTGTTGGGCTTGACTCTTGGCTTCTCGCGACTTGGAACGAAAGTGGACAGATTATCCGGAAAGGGAAGCCACGGCTTCCTTTAGAAAAGGGGGTGAGAACAGTTTCTGAGCAAGAACTCAGTCAGGGAGGGACCCTAAGCCTCATTCCCCATCCCACCCCGCCTTTTTTTAAAGACAGGGTCTCCGGCAAGGTAGTTCAGACGGCCTTGAGCTCACTCTGTGGCCCAGGCTGGTCTTGAACTCACAGCGATCCTCCTGCCTCAGCCTTCGGAATGCAGAGACGCGCCGAGGTGTGCCAGCACACCTGGCCTGTTAAGTCTCTCTCCTAAGGCGAGCTAAAAAATTATGTTTGGTCGTCATAATTCTTTCTCAAGAGACATAAAGAGCCCTGTGTTTTCACAGCTGTCCTGGCTTGGAAGAACAGTTAGGAGATTGAAGATTTAGCCGTGCAAGTGCGTGTATTTCCTCCATCAAGCACTTGAAAGCTGTGGCAGAGCCTGTAACTTCTGCTTTGAAATCCTAGAGTCCTGGAATTGCAAAAGCTGTTAGTTGCGAGACATTTATCTGGTGAGAGTAAAGGCAAGGTCAGTTAGAATAATTCATTTTGAGAAAAGAAATATAAACAAATACAGTGAGGAAATCTTCTCCTTAGAGTTTTCCTTAATGAATAAGTTTTTCTTTGTGACTTTTTGCTTTCTGATACCGTGGCCGAAGGTATTTTAAATTATAACATTGATACGGGGAAAATGCCACCCTCTAAGTACCTCTGCTAAAATGCTGCTCTCGTTTTAAAGGCCTTGAAAGGACTGTTTCCAGGATGTCGCTTCCTGATTGTGGATATTAGTAATCCTCACTGTTCATAACTGATGTCAGTAAAATTATGTTAGCCATACCTTCTCAAACGTGAAGGAAAGTTAAGGAAGAATACTGGCAGGTAATTTAAATAATTTATTAGATGATTCCTAAAAATTAGGGCGTTCTGACTGAGTGTGGTGGTACATGTCTGTCATCTCAGCCCTCGGGCAGGAGGATCACTGTGAGTTCCAGGCCAGCCTGGGCTACGCAGAGAGTTTGAGGCCACCTGAACTCCATAGTGAGACCCTCTCTTAAAAAAAAAAAAAAATACAATGAAAAACTTTAAAAACACTTAAAATGTGGGTAATATTGCACAATTCTCTATAATATAAAAAGTTATTCTTTCTTGTCTTTTTTCTCAACTTCTCTTACCTGTGCTTTTATTCCTTTTTTTTTTTGGTACTGAGGATCGAACTTGAGACCTTGCGCTTATGAGGCAGGCGGTGGAACCACTGAGCTAAATCCCTGGCCGCTGCCTTTATTCTTACAGTAACAGGGTTGAATATTTCCATTTTATTTTATAACTGTTGTTCAAGTATTTTGTATTTTGAAGACCTAGAAAGTTCAGTCTAAAAGATAAAAGCCAATAATAGTGCACTGTAAACAGAATTCTGTTTATAGCAAGGTCTGATTGTATACTGTGATTACTTTTTCTCCTTTTGGTCCAATGTCATGTGTAGTTTTCCTTTTCTACTTAGAATAAAATGTTTCCAGCAGCACAGCCGGGTAAGTATTTGCTTTTTTTCTTTCTCTCCCTTCTTCCTTTCTTCCTCCCTTCTTCCCTCTCTTCCCTCTCTTCTTCCTTTCCTCCTCCTTCCCTCTGTTCTCTACTTCTTTCCCTCCCCACCTGTCGTCTTCCCTTCCTCTCTATGACCCCTCCCATAATTTACTCAAAATTATGCCACACTTCTGTTTGCTTATAATCCTTAGGGTGAAGCACCTTCAAATGCCAGAAAACTGGGGAGAACTTAGTCCGGGTGCCCACAACAGCAGACCAAGTTCCCTCTTTCTCTGGAGGGCCCGTTCAGACCTTTTAAAGTGCAGTGATCTTCAGTGCTTGCCCTGAGGTTCTGTCTCAGCTGCCGTGTGTGCACAGGAGTCAGGGGCAGGGGCGCCAGGACAACAGTCACCTTTGTCTTAACAGCAGCCTCTCCCCTCGTAGGCTCGCCTCCCCCCTTCTGCTGTGCAGGTCGCACCTTCATCCTGCAGCTCGCTCTCTCTTTTTGGTACTGGGAATTGAACTCAGGACCTTGAGATTGTGAGGCAGATGAGGTGCCACTGAGCTAAATCCCCAGCCCGAATCCTGCAACTCTCTTGCTTATTCTAGGTTAGCATTTTTTTCTGTCTTAGCCTTCTGTATACTTCTGTGAATTTTTAGTCTTCCGGAAATTGTTGAATCTCCTGTACAGATTGCTCCCTTAACTGGGTTTCTTCCCCCTCCTCCCCTCCCCTCTTCCAACTCTCTTCTTCTTCCTCTTCTCCCCACTCCCTCCTTCCCTTGCTCTCTACCCTTTCCCCCTCCAGCCCCTCCCCTCCCCTCCCCTCCCCTCCACTTTCTTCTTTCTCCTTGGAGATCAGGTCTCGATATATTATCCAGCAATGGCTATATAGCCCAACCTGGCTTTGACCTTCTGCCTCAGCCTCCCAAAAGCCAGGATTAAAGGTCTGTGCCATTACACTTGGCTGGGTTTATTCTTTTGCATTCATTTTAAAGGGCTCATGGGATGGACAAGACACTGTGTGTGTTGAGTCTGTTTCTGGGCAGCTGGAAGTAGCGTGCTCATCCCCAGTGGAGTCCGACCTTAGGTGCAGTCTTCTAGACTGAGTGTCTTTGTGGTCTGTTAACTATCACTTGGGCCCATGAGACAAACTGTTCTCTCAGGCAGTTGAGACAGACTATGTCTGAATTTGGTGTAATCAGTTTGGACTAACTATAGGTCCACATCTCTCAATGGGATTGTGAGGCAAATGAAAACATTTGAGTAGAAACCCTTTAGGTAAATAATTCAAGAAATTTGAAGAGATTGAACCTAGGAAAGATCTGGTAGTTGGTACTCTGTGCAGCATGGTGGCAGGATCTGTAATAACATGTACAGTCTGATTGAATTTTACCTGATATGTATTGGACAGTGGGATTTAATCCATTGCAAGTTCCTTTTTTGGAAGAGTTTTATTTTTTGGTGATGACCTTTTCTTGATTCTCACAATGGATAAAGGGGATATATTTCTTATTGGCTTATGTACCTTGGACTCTGCAATCCGGAGAATATACAGCTATTTCCAGACTACCATGACACACTTTTTACATTTGTAAAATTTCTATCTCCTAATCTTTTCTTCTGTGACATTTTCTGTTATTTTCAGGCCTTTCTAAAATAAAGCATTAACCAATATTGTCCACTTTTTGAAAAAGGAGATGTTTTTATATTTGATTCTTGGGTTTGGCTAAAGTTTATGTTGCTGCTAATGTGAGACAAAGATCTACTCCTCCTTTCAACAAAATGCCTGTCATCTATATTGAACAAAACACCCTCTCTCCCTGGAAACTGACATCACCTTTATCAGTCTAATAGTTTTAAGTAGTTTCTCACTGATTCTCCTGATAGAGAAAAGTTTTAAAGTAAGTTTAGTAGATTAGCTATTAAAGTAGTTGTGGAAGCAAAATAGTGTATCCCTTTAAAGCTTGCCTTAGCCCATTGCTTTTGTTGTTTAAAGTGAAGGTTATATAGCTCCTTGTATTTGTAGCTCCACTATAGATAACATCTTAGCCCTGAAGATCAAAGTGGCAATCCCTGAACAAACCTGTGATATATGTGCCATAACAGTCATGTGTTTAGGACTATAATCAGTGACAGAAACCACCTGTGTTTAACCATTGAGCAGAAATTGGAACTTTATTTAACAAAGACCACTAGGTAGGAGATAATGACTAACAAAAGCATAAAAGGTGACTAACAAAGAACGTGGTGCATGGACACTAACCAGACCAGTTTCTGGAGGTCCTGCCTGCTTGCAAGTAAAACTTTTATTATTTTACCTGAATTCTGTGTCTCCATGCATTTCTTTCCGTGATTCTGGAACATTTGGTTCGCTGACTGGGAATTGGAAATGAAATAGCCCTTTTGGGCATTGGCCCAAACCCCACCAGAGGGAGCAGCTCTCTGTCTCCTTGAAAGGAAAGGTGTGCCCCTGGGACTAATTTCCTAGGCTCCCCAACAGGACACGGAGACCCGCTCACTGGTTGCGGATTGCCTGAACCCGAGATGGAGGATGACAGAAGGAGGGCTGCTGCTGTTGGTGTCTCATCTGTCTCTTTCCTTTGCTGGGTGAGAAACCCTGGGAAATCCCCTAGTTGTTAACTTTTGGTTTCGCTTTGGTCTCACTTTGTGGATTTGTATTTTGCAACTTTGGGCAAATACAGTGCAGGGGCCTGGTCACCCCTTGTGCTTTGCCATTTGGGGAGGTAGCTTCTTTTGTTTTGGTTATGATTGGGGGGCTCATCAGGAGGGAATGTGATAACTTCTGAAAAAATGTGTGAGAGAAAGAGTTCCGAATAGGAGAGTGTGTGGAATGAGCTGCAGAATAAGACAAAGGGAGGAGGCACTTGCACTTAAAGAATCCTCCCCGAGTCGTGGAATTTGTGTGTGGTCTGTGCCTCGATTCTGTGGTCACATTTAACAAAGGCACAACGGTGAGCTTATGCAACAGCCCATCTTAGCCAGAACGGACCTTAAAGTGACCTAAAGGCCCGCAGCCAGGCAGGTGAGCGAGTGATCCCCCCACCTTTGTTTATCTTGTGTCTCCATACAAGGGTACCCATACACACACCAACATGCTGATTGGCTGATTGTGGGGACAGAAACATCTCATCCTACTGTTTTGGAATGCATGCTTAAGAATTTTAAGAAAGGTTTTACTGTAAATTATGGTATTAAGATGAAACCCCCAAAACTTAGGACCTTTTGTGAGTAAGAATGGACCAGCTTGGCCAGCTAAGAGATCCCTAAATCAGGGTCTTGTCTGGTCCATCTGGGTAACAGTCACCGCCCCTGGATGGGAACATCCAGATCAATTTCCCTATATTTATTTATGGCTCAAATTGTGCCACAGAATACTTCCTTGGCTTTATATGTGCGCCCTTGAAGCAAAAAACAATATTCTGGTCCTCCGTCAGAAAGAGGATGATGCTGGAAAGAAACTGGTCCTTTCAGATATGGACTGAGAGAATTTAGACTTCCCCCTCCTTTTGTGTTGCTAAATCCACAGGTGCAGAGGAGGTGGGGACAAAGCATGAGAACTGCTTGACTTTAGTGCACCAGAGGGTGCGTGCCGTGGTCAGACTCAGAGAGGATCGAATAGGGCTTGAACTCAAATTGGAAAAAACTGAAAAGAAAAAATAAGTAATGGATTGAAAACAGCTAAGAAATCTCTGAAGAGCATAAAACAAAGCCAGAGAAAGTATAACTGTGCTCTGCTAGACATAAAGAAATTTTACAAGAGAAATCAAATTACAAATTTTAGATAATTGATAACTGTACCTGTGTTTCAGCTTGAGTTGATGTTTAATTAGTGTGCTTGAAATATTTTTGTACGTTGCAAATTCTTCAATTATAATTATAAGGTTAACTTGCTCTTTTCTGTACTTTATTGTTAAAAACTCAAGGTTACTACCATTCTATTGGCAGCCAACCAAATTTAAAGTGTAACAATCTGAGAACAATAAAAAGGACACTTTAAAATTTTAACAGCTAAAGACAAGTTTGTGATAAAAGGTCTGTAGTAAGTGAGGTAAAATATATTTTTGCATGTTTGTCTTGTTAGAAAGATAAAAAGAGATATACAAAACCAGAAGGCTTAGATATGTCAAAAGATGTGCAAAAGTGATTTATCAAGAAAATATGTATGTTTGTTTGTTGGTTTCAAGTTTGTTATGAAAGTTTAAATACATTTACATTGGTTGTCATCAAAGGGTTAGATTCTAAATATGTTACTATAATATGTGTACATTAGTCATCTTCAAAGGGTTTAAGAGCCAACAGGTTACAATATGACCTCCTCCTTTATAGTGAGTTAGAAGAAAACTGTTGGGAAAAGGCACAAATATGTCAGACTAAAGGTGTGATATTTGAGATTTGACTTAAAAAAAGGACAAAGGAGGCTAGGTCCAGAGAAAAAGAAAGTCATTTATTGTCTGCCAAGACCCCTCCAAAATGCTTCAATTATTTGATTCCATCATTGTTACCCATCCTCCTAATTGGGAGGACTGTAAAGAACTTTGTAGAACTTAGTTAACTTTTAAAGAAATGCAGAGAGTTTTAAGAGAAATTAAAAGGATCAATGCTCCTAGAATGCTGGCAGGCACACAAAATCCAGACACTTGGCATGAACAACAATTTCCAGTGAATGAGCAACCCAAATGAAACCCCAATACCCCAGGAGGCCAGGACAGCTTAAGCAATTATTGGATGGCCCTCCTGGTAGGAATAGGAGCTGTGAGTTAAAAGGCCTACAAATATGATTAAAGTGCTAGAAACACAGCAGGAGCCTGATGAGAGCCCTGAGATTTTATGAGCGGCTCTGTGAAGTTTACAGAATGTATACACCTTTTGATCCTGCTGTTCCTGATAACCATCAGTTAATCAATATGACTTTTGTGACCCAGTCAGCTCCAGATATTAGAAGGAAAATTCAAAAGCAAGAAACTTGGGAGGGTATGAATATTACACAATTGTTGCAATTGGCTAGTAGATGTGAACAGTCAGTGTGAGAGAAGGAATGAGTCAAAAGGGAAGATGAAAGAGATAAGAGCTAGGCCAAATACATGGCAGTGGCTATGGGAGCCAAGGCAGAGAAAGAAAAAGAAAGACAGGGAACAAATTCAGAAAGAAAGCAAAAGAAAGGTTTTAAACTTGAAGATTTAAAGTTTGACCAGTGTACATATTGTAAAGAGAAAGGACACTATAAGAATAAGTGCCCAAGGCTCAAGGAAAAGAAAAAGCAGGACTTGAAGGAAAGGAAGGATACTGGCACGTTGTTGCCTGTGATGGAAAACAGTGACTGACACAGACCGGGCTCAGTGCAGCTAGGCCCCCACGGGCCCATGGTCGATATAAAGATAAGGAGCCAAAATATCTCCTTTATGGTGGAGAGTGGAGCAGAACATTCAGTAGTAACAGCTCCAGTTGCCCCTCTGAGCAGAAAGCGCATCCAAGTAATCAGTGCCACTGGAATTTCAGAGAAGCACCAGTTCTGCTATGAAAGGACATGTAAAATTGGAGGACATAAAGTGAAATATGAATTCTTGTCTGTGCCAGAATGTCCTGTCTCCTTACTAGGAAGAGATTTATTGTCTAAATTGGGAGCTACAATAACTTTCACCCAAAGAGGAAATGCGTCTTTGCATTTAGATCCAGGAAAAGATCTCATCATGATGGTAACTACTAAAAGGCAGGATGAATGGCAGTGTTACAATGTGGATGATACTTACTAGGCTCCACAAGAATTAAAAACTATGTTTCCTGGAGTATGGGCAGAGGAATCGCCCCCAGGCTTATATAAGAATCATCCACCCATAGTTATAGGATTAAAAGACAATTTGACCCCCATTGCTGTAAAACAATATCTGATGTCCAGGAAAGCCCGAATTGGAATCAAGCTCCATATCATGAGATTAAAGGAATTTGGACTTATAAGAGAATGTAAGTCACTTTGGAACACCCCTTTGCTGTGGGTTTGAAAACCTGATGGGGACTATAGGCCAGTGCAAGATCCATGGGCTGTAAATGATGGAAGAGTAACACTTCACCCAGTGGTCCCTAACCCTTATACTTTGTTGGGTCTAATATCCCCAGAGGCAGCATGGTTTACTTGTTTGGAGTTAAAAGATGCCTTCTTTTGCCTTTGCATCACTCCCCTTAGTCAATCCATCATTGCATTTGAATGAGAGGATCCAAGTGATGGGAAAAAGACTCAGTCTACATGGACCAGATTACCACAGGGATTTAAAAACTCACCCACACTTTTTGGGGAAGCTCTAGCCAAGGATTTGCTTGCCTTCCCTGCAAAACAATATAGCTGTGTCCTACTGCAGTATGTGGATGACTTACTGTTATGCAGCCCAACCCAAGAATGGTGCTGGGAAGGCACCAAAACATTGTTGCTGCACTTATAAGAAACTGGATATAAGGTATCATGGAAGAAAGCCCAGATTTGTGTACAGCATGTTAAATATTTAGGATTTCAAATAACACAGGGCATGCATTACCTAGGAAATGAAAGAAAACCCCAAAGAAGCAGCTGAGAGAGTTTCTTCGGGTGGCAAGTTTCTGTAGAATTTGGATTCTGGGTTTTGTAGAAATCACTAAACCCCTTTATGAAGCCCTAAAGGGACAGGAGGAGAATCATCTGCATTGGACTGTAGAACAGGAGGGAGCTTTTAAGAAATTAAAATTGACTTTGGCAGCCACCCCAGCCCTACCAGATGTAAAGTGGCCTTTTAATATGTGACTGAGAAAAACCATGTGGCCCTTCAAGTCTTGACCCAAGAAGTAGGCCCATGGAACCAACTGGTGGCATATTTGTCTAAGAATTTAGATCCAGTAGCAAAAGGATGGCCTCCTTGTCTTCAGGTCTTAGCAGCTTCAGTTCTGTTGATTCAAGAAATAGACAAGCTGACTTTAGGTCAGGAACTGACTGTGCAGGTTCCACATATGGTCCTAGAACTGCTGAACACAAGGGGGCATTGTTGGCTCTCAAATAATCAGGTTACTCAGTATCAAGCCCTTCTTTGTGAGAACCACTCCTTGTGGTTTATTCCTGTAAAAGCTTTAAATCCTGCTACCTTTTTGCCCATGGAGGCAGGCCCTCCTGATCATGACTGCTTGAGTGTCACTGATGAGCTCTTTTCCAGCCACCCTAACTTGCAAATGACACCCTTGTCCGATGCTGACCTTGTTCTGTTCATGGATG